GAACATCACTAATCTCCACATTTAAGATACACCTCATTCTAATTGTAAGATACGATTTTTTACAAACAAGTTGTCATCTAAAAATGAGGTCCGACTATATTTTTTAATTTTACCATTCAATTGTTGGTAAATCAAATTTAAATTGTTCGTTCACATTTCTGTTATTATATTTAATTTCCACAGCATGAAGAGTAAAATCTCTGCAGTTTGGTGCATATTCCAAAACATGTGGGTAACCAATAACTGATTGGGGGTTAACAACTTTAAAATGTTTTTGCATTATAATAATTATTTTAAACAAAAATTTGGGTTTTTGTTTGAAGAAAAAACAAATATAGGAGGAGGGCGCTCCGACTCGGGCAAAGTGATCCAATTGCACAGTAAGTCATTTGCACAGAGGGCATCTGCACAGTAGACAATTGCACAGTAATTTGTGGTTAAGTGGATTCGTGTTAGGTTTTACTTATTGTTATAAGGGAATAAAATGTTATTAATTATTATTAGGTCGGGTCATAATTAGTGTCGCTTTTTTAATTTGGATTTTTTTGATTTTAAAATTAAGTTTTTAGAAATTATTTTTTATTTTTATTACGAATCATCTGTTAGAGTATGTTCTAGAGGATCTCCGCATTTGAGAATTTTTGGTTAGGTACCGCCTTGTAGTTCTGAGTCTGCTCTATGGGATAAACATTTTTTCACATTTTTAAAAAATTTCTTACGGGACAGGCACTTTACTGAATACGCTTAGTGTGAGACTGCGTTTGGGTAGTACAGTGCATCAGAAAACAGATTTTTTAAAAGGGGTATCCAAAAACTTCTTTCCTGTTTACAAAATGTTAAGACTCGGGGCAATTATTATGTTCAGTTAATTTTTTGTTCGTTTGATTCTTTTTGTGTTTTAAAGATTTTTCTCAGAAATCTTATTTTTGGAAAAGGTAGAGATCGCCGAAGAGGTCGGTCGATAGTTTTCGATAAATAACGAATACCGAAAAATATCGAAAAAGTCAAAATTTTCTCAGTCGATATTTTTCGATGTCAAAAATATCGAAAAAAACCATTCGGTCCAATCTCTAATAATTAATAACATTTTATTCCCTTATAACAATAAGTAAAACCTAACACAAATCCACTTAACCACAAATTACTGTGCAATTGTCTACTGTGCAGATGCCCTCTGTGCAAATGACTTACTGTGCAATTGGATCACTGTGCCCGAGTCGTGTCACCAGGAGGAGGAGGGTGGCACGACAATTATACAGTGGGACAATTGTACAGTGAGACAATTATACAGCGGACGATTGTACAGTGGACAATTGTACAGTATTTAGTACTTTTTAAAAAGAAATATAATTTTGCTCTAATAGTAAGAAATATGACCCAAAGTATCGAAAACCATATGATCAACACTAAATTTTTTAAATTTTATTATACAACATGGGAGGTTGTCTAATGACGGGGAAGCTTATTTTGATCAAATTTTTCAATTAATCAACCGAGAGGTGATTGATATCGGTGTCTAAGGTGATTGATATCGGTGTCTAAGGTGATTGATATCGGTGTCGTTTATCGCTATCGTTTGATCACTCTTCCGGTTGATCATCACTCGGTTTTCGATTCGATATTTCTCAACTTTTTCCGATTTTCACTTTCAAGGTTGATCACTCCACTGATTGATTGATCACTCACACAATTGATCACAGACTTCGCATATAAATTAAAAAATTGAAGTTCGTTCCGTTATTGGATTTTCCGTCATTGGAAGTTCGTTGAAGTTCGTTCCGTCTTTGATTATTGTTGATCATATGTTTTCGATACTCTGGGTTAACATTAAATTTTTTTAAAAAAGCTTTTAATACTGTACAATTGTCCACTGTACAATGGTCTTCTGTACAATTGTCTCACTGTACAATTGTCCCACTGTACAATTGTCATGGAGCCGAGGAGGAGCAGGACAGTGACCCGCGAGCTCAAGTTACTACAGGCCTGTAACTAAGTTTAAAACGATAACTATGTGTAGCGTGTTTACAGTGTTTATTCAAATAAAACGACATGTCGTTTTAATTTTCAACCCTCTTCTAGGGTGTCGTTATAATAGAGACTGTCTTTATATTAGAATAAATACAGTATGACCAATGTGAGAAATCGGAAAAAATTAAAAGAAGGTATTGGGATCAAGGGGGTTTCAATAATATTTTTAAATTTTTAGCTTTCCCCTAAAGGATCCCGACAAGAATACGTGATTCTCGAGTAATTCGGAACTTTCTTACTACACATTCCGGGATGAGCCAGTTTCACCTTACGCTTTTTAAAATCAGTTTCAGCACATTCCTGCTACATATAATCAGAATGAACTTAATGCTTCCCAAAAAAATTATAAATATTTACAATAATATTCTGGATCAGTCATTCTATAATTAAGCACTTTAATTAAATTTGCTTTATCCACAAATTTATTAGTTAATCCAGCACGTATTGTATTATTTGAACAACTTACACATTCAACACATTCTTTGAAAAATTTTTTCTCAAATTTAAAATTTTATATTCACCTCCACTAAGATATGCATGTAATTCTTGTGCTCCATAATAAACACATTCGCCAGGTTCAAGAATTATATGATTTAAATAAATGGGAGATAAACAGCCTATATCAGTTGGGAAACGCTTAAAATATTTAATTAAAGTTGATCTGAGTTATACCGACATATAGATAAGACTATAATGGATAAAACCTTACAAATCAGATAGAAGTCGTTCCCAACATTTCCCGGTGATCTCACATTTCCCGGCTTAACCAATATTCTGACATAAAATCAAACAGATTAAAAATTATGTCTGGGAAGGGATGGACTACATATGCATAGGTTCTCTGTAGTCGGCATTATCGGGTGTGTGGCCTAGTGCCCGATCTCACATTTCCCGGTAATAAGACAGGCTAGAACTTAGTTGTAAGAGCTCGATGACTACTTGAACATTTTTCTATATGTTAAGGCGCTAAGCCCTGTACTAAGCCCTGTGATGGAGGCGTATCCTAAGCCCTGTCTTCTAAAAGTCGTTCACTAGTTAAAACTCCACCTATCATTCTTTAATTCGTTCTAACCAGAGGAATAGTCGGAACAGGTAGAACAGTCAGAGGTTTTGGAAATAAGAAGAGACGGAAATCGGAACCGGCTTAAAAGTCGGAACTCGGAAATCAAAATTTTTTTCGGAAATCGGAAATCAGAAGGAAAAAACGTTCGAAATCGGAATTCCGATCCACCTCTGGTTATAACAAGAATCAATTTTATTTTTAAAAATATTTTTAAAAAGTTTTAATAAATTACTTGAAACATATCCTTAATTATTTTTATTGTATTGATATTCAAACATCCATAAACTAAATTTAAAAATTTATTTTTAAATTTAGAATTAATCCAAATACCTCCATTATTTATTCTTTTAATTAAATTTATAATTAATTTGTTAACACTTTCTTTTTTAAAATTTATCATTGTTGAAAAACTTTAAATTAAATTTTTATTTCTTAAAAAAATTTAAAAAAACCATTTCCTCAAAGCATTAATCATTTCATAAGAATCAGACGAAAATTGTTTAGATAATTCGATAAATTGTTTTGTATTTTGATAACCCATTGCTTGACATAATTCAGGAAATGCTTTAAAAATAATCTAGCGGATGCTATTTTTTAAATTTTAATAGTAGGAGTGGTTCTTAACTCTGTCCTAAAATTATAAGTTTACCCTAAATTTTATCATTATATGGTTTGCAGATTACAAACTTTAAATATTTTTTAAACACCCCGAAAATCAACGTAAAACAGGGGTAAGGCTCTTTAAAAAATATTTTCGACACCTTATGAATCTTTGTTCATACAAAACCGTTATCAGTTGTTGCCAACTCTTAGCGATTTAATTTTGGGCTCATCGAAAACCCTTGAAATTTGCTAGCCCGATCGGTTGGTCTATTTAATGGGACCTTCAGATTAACACTGATAAACTTAATAACAATATTTTTTACTTTTTCACTCGATTGAGTCGTTTTTCTTTTGAGTTTATTCAAGAAAAATTTTCAAGAAAAATTTAAAGCAAATCAAAAATCACCTTTCATATTTTCTAAAATTTCCCCTGCAGGTCTAAATCCACAAAGTAACTCAAATCTAGTCAATGCATACGCCAATTCTGGTTTATGATTTTGATCAGGATAATTAATTGGATTTTGTTTATTTAATAAAATGGCTTGTTCCTTTAAATAATTTTTAATTTAAAAATATAAAAATTATTTTTTAAAATACTTTAGTTGGATGGACTTGAAGTGAAAGTGTATGCCGAATTGACATTATTTTCATAATAAAGGGTAATTGACTAAATTAATGGATTATTAATAAGAATAAAATTTAATTAAACATTAGGGCTTCACCGGAAGTTCCGATTCCGGTCCCGAAAAGTTCCGGCGTTTTTGGTCCCGGTTCAGGTTCCGGGATGCGGAACTCAAAACTGGATTCAGGTGAAACCCTACTTAAACATACATATTTTTCTTTTTATTCTTGTCTGTAAGGATTTCACTTAATTGGACATTGGATAAATGAATTCTTGATGGACCTCAAAATTTAATAAATATAAGAAATAATTTTTTTTTAATTTTGATATTTTTATTTCACTCAAAATAATTTTTTAATTAATGATAAAGTCATTTATCTTTTGTAAAACGCTTAAAATATTTATTAAAATTGACTTATGTTATGACAGTATATGGATATAAGACTAGATGTAAATCCTTCCTAATTTTGTCCGATCTGAGAGATCGAGTCGGCCATCGAATTTTGTCTCGAAAAAAGCCTCGATCGGTCTGATCCGATAAAAATGAGTCCCGAAAAGATGACTCGAACGTCGAGCCCGTACGAGAGGTGTACCCTTTTAGATGTCTCAAGATTTTAAATACGATTTTTGCCCTAAATTGAGGTTGCCTAGTAGTATGTATATTAAAAAAAAGGAAAAATCTTTTTATTTCTGACCATCAGGATGTGTTCCAATCCACAGCTCTGCATATGGAGTATCACTATTAATTTCTTTATCCTCATGGCCTTCAATATAAAGTCGGGCAACTTCTGAATTTTCACCCAACTTGCCCCAAGCATAATTTTTTACGGCACAATTTAAACGCTCAATTTGCGATGACATTTTATATAAATTATTAAAAATAAATTTTAATTAAATCTTTAATTAATTTTATATGTATTCCTTAAAATTTTACTTTTCACTGGTAAATGTTATAAAGTTGCCATGAGAGGAGAGAGGATTTGACTTGTGTCTTTTAAAATTTTAGTATTGAGGTTAAGTCTGGTCTTGAGTCTTTGAGGCGCAATGCTGAACCAGATTTTGAGTTTAAGAAAAGCAAGCCTTAGTACATCATTATCCAGGGAGGGCTAGTATTCGAATTTTAAAATTACAGTTGATTATCATTATTATTATTCAACTTCTAATTAAAGGGGGTAATTAATCGAGGAGGCAAATAATCGAGGAGGCAGCTAATCAAAATTTATCGAGAAATACGGTATCTATACGGGAAAATTTATACCCTCTCCTCTAAATAGGGTTGTACCCCGAACGTTCGGGGGCGGGTATGTCGGGGTTCGGGGTTTTCCAAATGTTTCGGGGCGGGGTTCGGGTCGGGGGAGCAAAATATGGCCGGGGTTCGGGTCGGGGTACGGGGGTTTAGTGGAAAAATTTTTAGAGAAAAAAATGCTCAAAAATAATTAGAAATCGATATATTTTCGTTGATTTATTCAAAAATTAAGTAGGATTTTAAGAAATTAGAGGGGATTTGAAGGGATTAAAGTGTATAACTTGGGATATAAGTGGATCTGGAGGGATTAAGCGGGATTTTTAGGGATTAAATGGTATATCTAGGGATGCATGGTGATCTGGAGTGATTTTTGTGGTTCAAGGGATATTAGTGATTTATAAGGATATTGATGTATTGCGGATAAGGGTATTTGGACAGATATCAGGAGATTCTTCGATTAATCCTTAAATCTCCCACGAAATCCTTGTTAATTCCGTTAAATTCACGTAATTCTTTCAAATCCATTTTAATCTAAACCTTATATCCCTTTAAATCCCTTTATAACTCCCTAATTCTTCGATATCCTACAAATCCCTTTATATCTCTGATTCCTTTAACAGGACCTAGATAGTTTTCCAACTGTTATGGTTGAGAACTGGTGATACAGTGGGTTTGAAGGTATTGCGGATAAGGGTATTTGGACAAGGGATATCAGTTAAAGTTCAAGGGATATCAGTTAAAAATAAAATTAATATTTTCAAATTAAAATTTAACTCGTTAATAATTTGTTTTTGTAAAAAAATATGAAAACAACATAGTCCTCCTTATATGGATCCGAACCCAATCCTATATTAATGAAATATCGGCTAAAACCAACGACTAAGCCACTCAACCACAAGTCTCTTATAAAGAAGGAAAGAAAATTGTGATATTTCATTCATTTTTCTTTCAAAAATAATAAAAGCAAAGTAAAATGGGTGGAAATTTTTTCAATTTTTTTCATTAATTTCTCCGAAAAATGGCATTTTTTAGGGGTATAAAACCCCGATAACCCCGAAATTTTTTGGGCCGGGGAACGGGGTTTTCACTTTTTTTCGGGGCGGGGTTCGGGTCGGGGAGAATCGTGAAAAAATCGTTCGGGAACGGGGTCGGGGTTCGGGGTACGGGGTCGGGGTACAACTCTACCTCTAAATCATTTCAATATAATATATAATTTTATCTTAAAAAAAATTAATTATTGATCTCGCTTTAATGACGCCAAATGATCGAGAAATGATTTTAACAAAAAATCTTATAATCAAAAAAATGAAAGAATAAATAATTAGGGCAAGCAAAAAATTAATTAAATTAATCATTTGTGTATATTTTTATGAAAAAATCTTTTTTAGTTTTAATAAAATATTCGTTTTGGAAAGAATTAGCATAAAGACTAAATATCAAATATTATTGAAAATTAATAAAAAATTTAAAGAAGTATGAGATATTAAGAAATCTGAAAATTCTGATATTTTTTTGCCAAAAATTAAACTGTTTTTACAAAATAAAAATTCTGATAAAAATTCCCCAAAAATAAAACCAGTATTTGACCAAAAACTGAAAACCGGGGTTTTGAAATTTGGATAAACTGAAATAATCGGTTAATAACTGGTAGTGAACACCCTTATCTTTAAAAAAGTTTCTACCTTTTAGGTGTCCAATCAAAATAAAAATTTTATAGGAAATTAATTTTGTATAATTTTGTTTCAAAAAGTTTTGTGTTTTAGAAAATGCCATAAAAAAACAAAAATTTTTTTTTTGAAAAAATTTCAAAAATCTAATTCAAAAATTTTTTATAAATTTAAAAAAAATTCTAAAGAAAAATAAAAAAAATTTATTTTCCAAAAACAACCTTTTACATAAAAAAGTAGTATTATTTACTAATAAATAAATTTATTCATTTTTGCTCACAAATAAATAATAACACGAGTACATATTTTTATTTTTTTAAATTTTAATTTTGGATAAAACACTAAATAATATTTTGGAAAAAATAAATAAAAATATTTTTTTTTAATTTAATTGATTAATTAAAAAAATAAAAAAATTTTTTTCAAAAAATTATTTTTATTTTGTATTAAAAAAATAAAATTTTGCGTAAAATCAAAAATGCGAGAATGAAAAAATTAAAAAAAATATTTTTCGCTGTGACTGATTTTGGTTTATGATTTACAAATAAAAAGCAACGCGCGCAGCATTTTTAGGGTTAATGGAATTTGTGCGTAGTTTGTGGGGGTAGCGGGTTTGCGCAGTTTAAATTAAGAAAGTAAAAAAAAAGTTAGTGGTTGTCAGCAAAATTTATAAAAATAATTTTTTTTTTACATTTTAAATTAAAATAAAAATTATTATTTTTAATTTGTAAAATATTTTTGGAATCTTAAAAAAATAAAAAAAAATTTCTATAAAAATACAACGGACGACACCCTAGTTGCACTATGTATTAGGGTTTCACCGGAACCGAAATTTTGACCGGAACCGGAACCGGAACCGGATCCAATTTGAGTTCCGGTTCCCGGAACCGGAACCGGAACTTTTCTAAGTTCCGGCCCGGAACCGGAACCGGAACCGGAACTTTAAAAAAATTTTCTAGCAAATTAAAAAAAAATTTGTATTTTAAGTAAGGTTGTCAGTTTCATCAAATCCTTCTGTTAACCGAAACGTCTAACCGAATCGAAACTTTCGGTTAACCAAAACTGAACCGAAAACCCGAACAGAACTACCCAAATCTCATGATATCCTCAATATCCTACCAATTATATATCCCCTTTGATCCCAGAATTTCTTCGAATTATCCTTAATCCTAACAGATCCATAGATATCAAATCACCGATATAAATATAAATCCTGATTCATCGACATCCACAATTTCACTGCAAATCCCCAGATATCAATCTTTGATATTTTCCTTACACCACTCAATCCCTCGATATTACCTATCAAGGATGTAACATTCAATTTCTATTTACAGCGCCGCAGGCGAAAATTTTTAGAATTATGAACGGCTAAAGAACCAAATTTCTTCTTTTCAGCGCCGCAGGCTAAATTTTGAGAAATTCGGAAGGGATGAGCGAAAAAATTAAACATTTTTTAGTCAAACGAGAAATTTTAAGAATTTTGGAGAGAAAAAAGGTGCTAATTTCTCCTTGTAAAAATTTAATAATTTTTAAAACAAAATCAAAATTATAAAATAAGTTATTTATGGAAAGAAAAACATCAAAATTTAATGTCCTATAACAGTGAAGCGAACTTTCACTTAAATTATTAATGCCTTGGTTGAAGCCTAACATCTTAACCACTCGGCCACCCGCTTACATGAAGGCAATTTAAAGAAATAAAACATATTTCTTTCGATTTTTCTGTTAATACAAAGACCGAGAGTGCGAGTAGTTTAGTAATATTTTTAAAAAAGGGATCGTTAGGGGTGTAAAAAAGTTCCGGTTTGCCCGGAACCAATTTGAAAACCGGAGCCGGAACCGGAACCGGAACCAATTTGAGTTCCGGTTCCCGGAACCGGAACCGGAACCAAAAAAAGGCCGGAACTTTCCGGAACCGGAACCGGAACCGGAACTTCCGGTGAAACCCTACTATGTATTGTACAAATTAGATGCTTCAAATTAACGTCAGATTTTTTTTCTAATCGAAATATGTAAGAATAAAACGAGATTTGACACAAATTTGAGTGACCTATCATTTAAACATCAGACTTTTCCTAAACGGGAGGAAAATGAAGTTTAATCAAGGTAAAAATGATAGTTTGTTGATTGGTAATTGTACATTGTCTGACCATTAAAACGTTACTGATCTAATATTTTATCTCGCTGTTATTTTAGTAGTGTAGCACCCTTAACCTTAGGGGTCGGAAATGTCGGGGAAAAACCCCGACTCGGGTTTGCGTCTCGGATCGGGGTTTGTCGGGGTAGATCCTTCGGGTCTCAAGTCGGGGTCTTTGCCAAAAAAAATCGTCGGAGTCGATTCGGGATTTTGAGAGGACAGGGTGCTACCTTAATTTTAAGCATTTTTTTTGAATTAAATTCATAAAAAGTTTTAATTTTTTAATTGGAATTTTTCTTGAATAAAGAAATCGTTTCAAAATGTCTCCCTCTCTCCTAATGCCTCCTCTAAAATGTCTCCTCTGTCTCCACTAAATTTGGGTAAAAATTATTTTTAGATAAATTAAAAACCAGATTTAGTACAGTTTAAAATTAAAATTTAAAAAGAGAAAATATAAAAGAGAAAAGTAATTTTATGACAAAAATGTTTCCGATCCAGCTGGATGCCTCGGGTGATTTGCACATAGACTAGAAAATAAACAGGTTTATGACTAACTTTTTCTTAAAATAAAATTAAATACTTTGAAGTATTTAATCTAATTTAATGAATTAATACGTAAATTCTCTTTTGGGTAGACTAAAAGAGAATTTAGGACAATAAATGTTATTCCAGTAAGAAAATTATTTTCTGGTCTGATGGGATTCCAAAATTTCCGCCCGCCGACGTTATTTTTCCTTCGGATTTCCGAAAAAAAATTTTGATTTACGATTTCCGACTCTTGAGCCAGTCCCGATTTCCAGTTCTTCCG